ACCAAAACTCTAAGCGGATATGCAGTACTATACCAAAGATATCTGATGGTCTGTGCTGGCACTCACTGCATTCACAACATTTTTTTTATGCGCTAGTCCCAAATTGGTAAAAAAAAACTGATTCAGATTTAAACCACAGAAATCAAAGAATTGCGTGCCATTAAGACACATACCAACTGTATGTACACACAATCACATTGATCTTATTCCGCTCGTCGGACTTTCAACAACATCTATGCTTATACAATCATTCTTTTATTTGACGTAATATTAATCAACCTTCTTGTCAAACAAATCAACAAGCTATCATCTCATTCATCATGTTCAAGTCACTCCAGCTCCTTCTTTTGAAGGGAACACTCATTATGGAAAAGCGTCTGACACTGATCACAATGCAAAGTTTGATTGTTGTTATTAAGTCTTGAAAAAGACAAGCATGATGATTCTGATGATAACGATATCAATCCAGAGAGAGATGGAACACAAGACGACAGCCTTTATCTCTTACGCCACTGCGGTGACTTGAATCTTTTTAGTAGTGTCTCTTATCGTATTGATGATTGTTTGAAAATGCGATTTGGATCAGTAGGGAAGGAGCAGCTGAGGTGTTAACTCAAAGCAAAGTCTAGTGTTGATGAGAGGAGCAAAGACAAGTTTTTGGGGAGTTAGGAGTTTTTTTTTATTGAAGGAACTATCTAACTAGAGTTCTTGTTGTTGTTGTTGTTATTGTTAATCAGAAATACAGGAAGGAGACAGCCGATGTTTATAGCCTTGCTGCGAGAAGTATACAGTAAGCGAGAAAGTGATAGACGCAGTTAAAAACACTAGTGCAGTAAGCAGAATGTGACGGTAATGCGTTACTGTTATGCTATCGTGCGGAGATTTGCAGGATTTACCGCGGACTGTTATATTTACTGATAGTTAATAGAATTAAACCTGTTGTGTCTATGATTAGCCGCTGTAATAACTACCGCTTTTTCCAAATAACTGATGAATCTAAATAAATGCCATCAGATTACCTGCACCTGATGTGCTACGTAAATGCTTAGAGAATAGCAAGGCGTCAGCAGAGGTTCAAATTGTGTGATCTGAGATCCACTCCATTCCAACAATGATGACCTTGGTAATGAGACAAACATTGGCTGTTTCCACTGATACAATGTAGCAGTGTCCGCAATGACTGTCATTAGACTAGTGGCTTTTGTCATGTTGACTATGAGTACGCACAGGATCAAGTCAAAACAAAGAAAAGCAGACACTGCATCAACTGTCCTTATAGAGTTAGCTTGAACTTCTCATGAAATAATAAAGGCTGAATCTTACATGTCAAAGACAGCACTCAGAACCACCGCAGATCTGACATATCAAGATTTGCAGTTTTTTGTCAGTAGGATTACAAGAAATTTTATCCCCTCTTCACAACCCAGGTTATGCTATATATGACAATGTCAAACTTGACAGCAGCCCAAGCAGCTTTGAATGTGATAGACAAAGTGCAGTTACATAATCTCAATATTCAGTTGTATACTCAGAACATTTGCAATGGAGCATTGCAAGTCAAGGCAGCTGACAGGGGAGCGTTAACGGAGACAGTGACGTTATATATCGAGTGCAGTATAAAAATGAGAATGATACTGAAGAACTTCAAACGTTAGTATAGACCAATACTTGGGCTGTACAATAATGAAGGAAGAACTTCAAAGTCATTATCATGAATAACACTGAGAAGTTTAACAGATTCAACAGACCTTTGATACAAGTTACAGGTGTTGAAATGATGAAAGAGTGTATAGGTGCTCAGTCGAGATGAGCGGTAGAAATCGAGAAATCACTGCTGATATCAGTTCATAAATCGAACAAATTGAGAGAGCGACAAATGCTCAATAAACGTCTAACGCGAGAAAAAGAACACAAGTAAATTGATTCAAATCATAATCAAATATAATTACTGTTGCTGAGATCAACTGCAAAACAGCACACAAAACGCCCTATCATTGCTTCCATCTCTCATAGATAGATCATATTAACGTCTGCTGTGCTATTTACATGAAAGTGAGCGACCAATCCGGTCATAAGACGTGCCTAATGTCGGCAGCTGAAGATGGAGGCCCAACTGAAATGTCGTGGCGGCTGTAGGTCACATGTTCACCCGCAAGGATGAGACAGGGACGAGTTGTTGGGACATGGGTGTGAACACCGAGATGGACTCTAAGATGGTGTAGCCATCGTAATGATCCAAGTCGAGGAGCTCCTTCATGAGGTCTTTTAGACTAAGACCTTTGCTGCTGGAAGTTACCGAAGATAACGCCGACATCAGGCACCGAAGTACATGATTAAGAATAAAAACTAACTAAGAACAGAACCAAAATACAGGAAACAAAGAAAACGCTTAATCTTTAGGGATTGCAGGCATGGTTTTGCCTGTAAACACTGAGCAGTGCTCGTAAAAGTCCGTGG